GTGTGTGTGTGTGTGTGTGTGTGTGTGTGTGTGTGTGTGTGTGTTGGCATAAGAGAGACAAAGATGAATATTATAGTTAAAATATAATTTTTTTTTTCTTACTGAGCTTGTTTGTGCAGCTCTAGTTAATTTTTACACACGTTTTAAAGAAGCAAAGAGTTAAAATAAAAGTGAGGCAGCAAACCGTTGCTGTTTGAGTGAACATGAAGGGAAAGTTTCCCTCATGTGGATTAGCATGATCTGTTGATGTTTATCCTTTATTGCCCTCCAAAGCAAACACATCTGACGTGATGTGACTTGATGTTATGTTGGTCATCACGCTGTGCTTGTGCTCACTGGAGAAGCTCCGCCTCCGGTTATATGCAAATCTGCAACCGGTGTAATAAATTCACCGCCGAACCTCGTTCCTGATTACTGCCGCCTCGGCACAAAGATGTGATTTTCCAGCCCTCGACTCCAGGATCACACACACCGTGACACAGCAAGTGTTGCGTAACGGGAGATAACTCTGTGTGTGTGTGTGTGTGTGTGTGTGTGTGTGTGTGTGTGTGTGTGTTTGTGTTTGTGTTAAGCGTTAGAGGGGCCCATTCATGTTACACAGCACTGTGGCCCCCTACATGCTACAACTGTAAACTCGAGGTTCTTAAGATAAAAACGTCCATAAAGTGGTGAATGTTACTCGACTCCTTCTGGTAGTTTTACCCGAGATCCAGGTCATAGTATTATTTTTTAAGTATTATTGTTATTTATTGTGTTTTTTTATTATTGTTCTTATTGATATTCATATTATTAATAATAATAAATATTATTATTATTATTATTATTTGTTTTTTGCCGTGTTTGACACTTTTAAATGAAGAGGAGTCCTACAAATAATAATTATAAGATACAAAGAAAAAAAGCTGTCAAACCATAAAAAACAACAAAGCAAATACCCAGTAGCAATGAAATATATACATTAAAAACAAAGAAAACAACTCAATTCAGCTTTTAGTAAGAGTTTTAAATTCAACAAGCAAAGCAGTGCTGCAGGAAAGAGTCCTAAAACCCACTTGATGCGTTTTCTAGTCTCCCACAGACTGAGTTCAGTCCACTCGGTAAAATCCAGTTTGTTTTTTCTCACAACCCAGAACCGTCCAGTCCAATCCAGCACAGAGCCACAAAGAACAACGACAAACTCAAAACTCCGCTCCGGGTTTTGCCACGGATCCCAACAAACGAACCAACCCGGAAATTGAAACACAATAACAGCGCCAGTTTAAGAAATGGTGATAATTTACTGTAAATACACCGGGTACTCACGGTACCGTTGATCGGTCAGCAACGTCTGCGTTAACTCAGGCCAAGACATCGGTAAATCCTGGAGAAACTCCGACTGGGAGACTCGGACTCGGACTCCATAGACGAGGGTTGTGATTGGATAGTTGTAGGATTGTGGGCGTTAACTAAACTCTGAACTCTTGGCAGGTGGGCGGGGCTTAGGGATGGACGATACCAAATGTATTTAGGGGGGACACTAGAGGTGAACTGGGTAAAAAAATGTACTAATTAATATCAACATGAAACTTCCCTTGTTGATTACTGACATTAAGACAACTATGTTTTATATTACACTTGATCTGAATATATACATTGTTTAAAGCTGTGTTGTAAATGTTTGTTTTATTTTGTTGAAATATTAGAGTCAAATGTATGATATCTGTTTGTGTCACTCCATAAATCATAAAATACACTTTCTGTCTCCATCAGACTCTGGACGGCGGTCAGAACGTGGTCCAGCTGGAGACGGCGGTCGGTGCCGCCATCAAATGCTTCGACAACGCTCTGGGCATCAACGTGCCTCGCAGCCGCTTCCTGCCCGTGAAGACCACGTCGGACCTGCTGCTGGTCATGTCCAACCTGTACAGCCTGGACGCCGGCTCGCTCACCATGAGCCCCAAGAGGGAGTTCCCCACGACGCCACACGTCAAGCTGGGCAGCTCCTTCAACAAGGTAACTACAAAACAACAACAATAATGTAAACAAGACATGTGAAACAGCTGTGAGCTCAGGTACTGTGTTTGAGAACTTCTGAGAGGATTTAAGGTGATTTGTGTTCAAACTGAACAGCAAACATTTAAAGTTTAGTTCACCCAAATCACAAAAAAGTATATTTTTTACTGTATTGAGCCTTGCAGGACGTTTTAGTTTTATCTAATGGAGGCGAACAGCATTTAATTTGCTAAAAGAAATAAGTATTTTACTGGAGAGGGTGAAGATCTTTGGCATCATTTGTTTTTTAAATAAAGTTTCTACAAAACAACATTTCCCTCTAAACTAAAGCGACGTATCATCCAGTCTGGTGGTCTCAAAGCTACATCTTCTAGACATCAGTGTGACGTTATTTGGTAACGTTGGAGTAAAATCTGTACCGTAACTATGATTTAGAACATGATTCAGAAGGTTTTAATGTTTTTATCAGAGGATCCACAAACAGCACAGCAGGTTGTTTACAGCGTTCCTTGTGTGTTCAGGTTCAGGAGTATCTGACGCGCTTCGAGAGCATCCCCGACATGCTGGAGCTCGACCACCTCACGGTGTCTGGAGACGTCACCCTCGGGAAAAACGTGTCAGTCAAGGTAAAAAAGTCTCCACTCAAATGAAGTTTTACTGGAAATACGAAGAAAACAACAACATTGTAAACTTTCATGTGAAATAAGAAATGGGTTTTAAAAGGTTTGTTTCAAAAGTTTGTGTTTTGTTGATTTTTGTTTACTGAACTATTAAATCCAGTAATTTTGTTAAAGACTTGAACTGTTGTTCTGGGAACCTGAAGAGTTTGTGTTCCTTTATGAACTGAACTGATTCAAAAGGAACTGGACTGATCTATGAACAACCCTGTTTTTTGTTATCTTTTTGCTTTAATTTAAACTTTAAAATGATACTGGTGGTGCGGTTGAGTTTGTTTGGTTTGAGTATTTAATGCCACTGTTCTGTTTGTGTTAAAAAAATAACCGAAAGTTTATTCTGATCACCTTTATTCTTCGTGGGGTTTAATACTGACTAAACATTTTGGTTTTAAACTCGTTAAAAACTGCTCCATAATAGATATCATTGTGCATCAGTGTTAAAGTCTTTGACAGTAACTGTCCCTGTTCTAACGTCCTCCTTCCTCCTCACAGGGCACCGTCATCATCATCGCCAACCACGGGGATCGGATCGATATCCCCGCCGGCTCCATGCTGGAAAACAAAATCGTATCGGGAAACCTCCGCATCATGGACCACTGACGCCTTTTCTTTTTCACTCACTCACTCACTCTCTCACACACACACACACACACACACACACACACACACACACACACACACACCCTCACCCTCATCATGTGACCCAGTTGGCTTCATTCCAGCCATGTGACCCGTTTGTCATGTTCCAGCCCATTGTGAGAGGAAGTGTGCATGTGTGATATACTGACCTCTACAGGCTGTTTATTATATATTATAAACCTGTAACAGTGTTAATAATGACCTACATAGCCGTCATGTTAAATAATTACCTAAATCTACAAATGTGTATTTAATTTGTATTCTTTTCTAACTGATTTTCTTTTCTGCCAAAGAACATCTCAACATAGATTCTATAATAGTATTAATAATCTGTTAATAATAAACTGCTAATGCTAATCACATACTGTACTTACACAGAGAGGGGAAGTTACGGGAGAGTTTTAACCATTTATTTCAAGCATAAAGTCCTCACTGAAAGATATGTTCAACTGAGAGAAATAACTGGATTAAAGTGTCGTATGTCGACAGGTTGTCCATCACACGGCTAATATACTCACAGGAAGTCTCCAGTTTATCGTCCATGAAGAAGACACACAGAAAGATTTGAACCCTTCGCTGGGCCATCATCCCTGTGAATAGTCGATTAAGAAAATATAATAGTTAAGCGGTTAAATTACTCCTAAATTGGTTTTATACCTCAGACATATTCTGGATCAACAAGCTTGTGATTTAAACATCATTCAAGCGTCCGGTGAAGAGACCGAAACCAAGAACAAGAAGCTGAAAGGCGCTAAAGATGGTGATAATTGTCTGCGAGTGTCGACACTGTCATATACAGGTAGACATCTTGTGCAGAAATCCAGCCTGAAGGGGAGTTTGTGCTGAGAAATAAATGGGTCTCTTTCTTCCAGAGTGTAGAACTCATTTAGACCTCCAGAGTCCAGAATAACCTCCCACCAGTTTGTACCCCTGAGGAGAAACTAGCGTGTGTCTGCCTGTTTGCTGCCCTTTGAGTAATAATGTTGTAATGCCATGGAATTCTATGTAACAGCTGATGTCTTAAAGTGTTTTCTGTTTGCTCACATTATGACCTTAATGTCCTATGACTCCGCCGTCCATCCCGTCACTCAGCGTCCACACAACGCAAAGACAGGAGGTGCACACGCACACGCACACTTATACATATACTTGAGATGGGTCCGACATGTCTGAAAGCAATAAGTGTTGATCTGTGACAGTGACGAGGTCTCGGGCCCAGTTCTGCCTCCTTGGAGCTGAATAAAGTGCAATATGAAAAATAATGAGCAGGCGTCATCTGTTGTTTTCTCTGCACCCAAAATCACTTCATTCATCAATGATCAAGAGCGTCATATTGGATATCTGATATCGAGCACGTAACTCTCTGTAAAAACAGCAAATTATCATTGTTTTATACCTTGTTTTTTCAAAATATATTGCTTTTAGTTGCAGAGGACGACCCTGTGGACTTTAAACTCGACGTCGTGGGCTCTGATCACGGCGTCGCACAGTTCTCCCTCCAGACGGAGCTTATTGAAGATCGTTTTTCTGAGGACGGTGCTCATCGTTCAGACGTTTTAAACTGCTGAAAAATTCTACTAATACGATACATATTAAATGTATGAGTTAGTGAGTTACAGTCCCTGATGACTTTCACCTACCAGATTGTTTGTATTTGAAAATCGTGAAGCTTTAAACTCACTTTCTCAATGAACTGATGCTGTTGCATTACAGCTCGTGTAGTACATCAGGGATGAAGCTGTAAGTTTGTTTTTCTAAAGGATTCTTTAGTAAATGTGACGTCGCCTACTCGACTCAACTCAAAAGTTAAATTAAATAATCAAAGCTGGTTACATTTTAATTGATTATCTATTTCAAACAATTCAATAAAAAATGTAGGTACTTTATACTTCACTACATTTCAGAGAGAAAACATGTGCTTTTAACTTATCTACATGTAGTACTGCTTTGATATTCATTTATCAATAATAATGGTCCAATAATATTATATTAACACTTACAGTAGCATTAAGAGTTCTATTGATACTTTAATTACATTTGTTACTTATGTTCTTAAGTAAAGTTTTGAATGCAGGAGACTGGAACTCAACAGCTGTTATTATAATTATATATTGTTGTTAATTAACCACCGCTCTGCTGCAGAACAAAGACATTTAGTCTGTTTGTAATCATAAACCAGCACACTGTGAAATATGTCACTTTTACACTTTATTGTTTAAAGTTATTACAAAAAAAGTGTTTGCTGGAAACATTCTTTGCTTTTTTGCCTTTTCGAGCACAAGGAGACTCCGGACAGGAGATGAGGAAGAAGAAGAGGAAGAAGAGGAAGAGGAGTGGAGGGAGTAAAAACAGGGTTGAGATAACAGTACAGAGACACAGAGTGAAGCCCTTTACTCACACTTTACCCGCAGAGAGACACCACGAGACAAAAAGTGGGTGAAGGAAATCCAGACTAGACATTTGTATTATGAGGTGTGTGTGTGTGTGTGTGTGTGTGTGTGTGTGTGTGTGTGTGTGTG